TTTCGAATTTGGTACTTTTAAAGTCACTTTTTTTGTAAGCTTAATGGTAACAGTTTTTACTTTATAACAAAACACAAGTGATAAACATTTGATTATTTTAAAAAAGTTTTTCGCCAAAAATACTTTCAAAAATAATTTTTTAGTAAATGTAATCAATCATATAATTTACAACTTTCACTTTTATCAAACTAAAACATAACATACCTTACTTTCTTATAAACAACTTAATCAATTATTATTCTATCTAAACAAATAAATACTTTGCAGAACCATTTTTATATTTATGTCATTATACAAGATATAATATTTATGAAAATATTATTTTGTAATATATATATATATATATATATATATATGCGGACATGTATATTTAACATTCTCTTGAAAATATTTATAATAAGTTAATACTCAATCTCAAATAAAATATATATCAATTTCCGAACGACATACTTAATTTTTAATATAATTGGTTTTTTTTTTTTATTATTAAATTTAATAGTCAATAGCTTATATTTTTACTAGAAATATTTTTAACGTTTTAATTTGTTTTTCTACATTGCCGATCAACATTTATATTCAACTTATTAAATTGTTTTTTCATTTAACTAATAAGTGTTGTTAATCTATCAGATTTCAATCTCTTTTCTTGACAAACTATAATTATGTTTATAACTCTATAAGTATACAGAACGTTAAATCTTTATAACCAGTCAATTAATCTAATTATCAGATTTCTTTTTACGTTGAATATATTTATTTAATATGAAAAAATAATGATAAAAAAATTAATTACAATAGATTTGAATCAGTCCAACGAATATATAGAAATATTGTTTTTGCATAAAACATAACTTTAAATTCATGAAAATAGAAATATTAATAGCATAAAATTGTTGTACAAATACTAATGAAAACTTACGATGATCAGCAATATTTGTCACCTTCATAAACTATTATAATTTAATATCAAATATATATAAAATACAAAGTATATAACAAATAAATAAGTAATTCAGCATAATATTTTATTAGTTGCACGAAAAATTTCATATTAATTATCAATTAAAGTTTAAATTAAAATGACCATCTTTATTAATATCTTTTTACATGGTCTATATTTTTACATGACCATTGCCTGGATAACAAATTTACCATTTTTATAATAATATAATCTTAATACATCACCATTATAATTGTTCATACATTTTCTTAGCTTTTTTTTTTTTTGTAAATTTATTTGTCCATGTACAATTAATGTAATATCAACAATTAAACAGGGGTATAAAAATATATTTATTACAACTTCAAATAGTAGGTATATATATATATATATATATATATATATATTATATTTGTATATATTTATTAATTTACATGATAAATACTCTATTATAAATTTATTGCTGTGTTATAAAAGCTTTTATCAAGCCAATTTTTTATTGTAGTACAACTCGTAAAATTTACATTAAAAAAGTATTGTAAAATTCATTCTTAATGTATAATATTCAATGACAGATAATTAAATATTTATGAAATAGATATTTATCTACGAAATAAATTTCAATATTACTGCCAATATTCGCTATATTGATTGAATCAATTTATTATAAATACATTATATGGATACACTTGTTTTGAAGATTATAAAAAATTTAATTAAATTTACTTAACTCTTAAAATATCTTTCATGTCAAAAAATGTTTTCAAAATTAACAAAATTTTATTCATTAAATTTTTTTTAAGGAAATAAATACTGTAATTCTTATGATTATTAGCCACACTTAAACAACTTTGTTCTCATCCCGCTGTGTTCTTTCATTGAAATTTTTTCATGAAGTGTCTGTCACTCAAAAACTCTAACACCTACTCGCATTATGGTCGTATATCTGATAATAAAAGTGAATTTGCCACTTCGACTATGCATGTCTGATTATTTCTAATTAATTTCAATAGTTTTTCAACTAACAAATCTCATGACTTTTCTTAATAAACATATGTTATGCATACTGTTTTTTTACAATTCGAAAAAATCCTTCTATTACATTATTACACTCCATTACTAAAGCAATTGAATTATCGTGAAAATTTTTGAAACCTTAACAACACAGTTTCCCTGTCAACTAGTATAATACAGAATAATAAATTTATCATTCATATATTATAAGATTCATAACATTCATATTTATCATTATTATAAATAGAACAAATTTACTCTATTAATTCAAAATTTTAATTACCATCTAAGTTATAATTTAAATTATTTATTAACTATTATTATTAAATAGTATTTTATACGATCTAATGGATACTTAATGAATTTTTCTAATAAAACAGACAATTTTATTGGACCCAATTGTAACATTAAAAATATCCTATTATAGATATTATTTAAATTTCTTATCGTATTTGTACTATTTAATAAATTAATCATATATTCTATGACTTATTTTTGTAGATTATGTATTACAATTAATTTAAGTATGCCAATTAAATTTAAGTATTCGTATGTATTAAGCCATGTTTTTTTTTTTTTTTTAATATTATTTAGTAGCATTATAAATTCAATGAAAACTTAATTCACAAAACTTCTTGTGTGGACATTATATATTGATAGCTTATAAAAAATATTAAATGATATAGTATCTTGATCGAATAATTATTTTTCAATCATATGACAAATCAACATATGACAAATATCATAAATAAGGTTTTTATCTCAAAATTTTGTAAATAAAAATAACATATTTCAGTTTAAGGTATACTTATTAGGTATTGATCAATAAAATTAAAAATTGGAAATAAAGAAGATAATTTGCAAATAGTGATTTTTTACATAAACGTTAAATTTTTTCGATTATAAAAAATATATAAGAAATATTAAATTTATGCAAATTTTTAAAATTTGTTTAATATCAATTTAAAATCATAATTTTACTTTATAATAGACATCGATATGATCGATATGTTTTATACATAAAAATATACGGCACGAATGTTTTTTGTTTTTTTTTTTCAATTAGTAATATCTAAGTAAATATTAAATCTTTATCTCACTTATTAATATATGATAATTATAACACAAACTTGGATCTATTATCTCCTACATGAGTGCAAATAATTAAAAATATTATTTAATACTTTCATTAATTCATGTGCTTATTCAGAAATTTATTAATAGATTCAATTGAATATATTTGATATATTCGAATTAATATATTTAATAAATAATGAAAGTTACATGTTATTACCATATTAATATGAGCTAAAGAAACAGCACTCGCGAGCAAAATGAAAACTAAATCATTATGCGTAATTTAATTACTAATATTTCAATATTTAATTAACTCAATGTTATGCTTTTCGATAGATATAAGTTGATAAAACTATATATAACGAATATTTTTACAATATTAATTATATTTGCTATTGATGTACTATACAATTGTATTGATAGTTTGCTAACGTTTTTTTTTTTCAATGTATATCTATTTATTCAATTTTACAATTATTATTAATAATAATAATTTTGAATAATTTTATCAAATATCTACATGTGGTAAAATCTATAGTAAGGAAAAGGAATTTATTATGTTCAAAAAATAAATATTTATTATTATTGATTTAATTATATTAAATTATAATTAAATTAAAATTAAAATATAACCTACTCGTTTTCAAAAGTATTTGTATCGGTTTACTTATTTATGTAATACAAAATTTTGAAAAACAATAAGACAATTGTTTATTATTTCTGATTATTTTTATTAAAAAGTAAATATGAATTACTAACGCCTATATAATTTAGAAGAAAAAAAAACAACTCAAAAGTAGAAAAATTATAATTTTGTTATTACTAAATACAAATATAAAAAAAAAATCATATATGAAGTATTTATTTATATTTATTTATTTTTACATTATAATATACTCGTTGTAATCATATTTTACATTATGCAATTGGTGAATAAAGTTTGATAATTTAAAAACTATATTTTTAAGTTGAAGAATAAAATGTTACTATAAGAAAAGTATTTATCCTACTATTGGAATAAAATTTTATGTTTCTGAAATTATAAGAAAAACAAAAAATTAAATTAAATATATCGAGAAAGTAATTTATATTTATAATAATAAGTTATATTTAAATTTGTAAATTATTTTTTTTTATAAAAAAAAATTTTTTTTTTTTCGCCGTATACATACAAGAATAATATAAAAAATAAGTAAAATTATATTACTTATCGCTTATTGATGCATTATCATTATCATGATTTGTCATTTTGTAGGAAGAATAGACTTATAATTTATAAATTACAGCCTTCCTATCTTTTTAAATCAACTATAATATTAATAATTTTATCTACTTATCTAAATATTAAAAAACAGAAATAATAGAATCCGATAAAATCGAATGTTGCATATTTATAAAATATTACATTAAACGAAATATAACTACAGTTTTACTATAGCCTTTCCGAAGAGAGAAACAATTATTTAATTTAATTATTACACGTATAATATAAAGAATAATGCTTTATACATATATAAATTAATAATTGTTAATATACTGTCGACTATTTATCAACTTATACCCTACTTTACTTAGACAATTTATTTATTTGTTATACAGTTTTACAATATAATATAAAAAAATCATAAAGTTGAATTTAATTAGAACAATATACCTACTGATAAATAAATATACCTGGTAAATATAATCAGAATTATTTATTTTAATACTCTAAATGATATTGAAATATATTGAAAAAATTAATTTAGAAATTTCTTTACCGTTTCTTTCATATGTTTTAATTTACATGATTTATGAAAAAATTCTCATTTAATTTGTACAAATAACTTATGGATAAATTTTTTATCAGAAAACTAAATATTTGTTAACATATACATTCTTTAGCTAATATATATATATGTGTGTGTGTGTGTGTGTGTGTGTGTGTGTGTGTGTGTGTGTGTGTGTTGTAAATTGTATCGTAGATACATTAAACGAGGAAGGAATAATTTAAAATTCATTTCCTATTATTTATTTTTAAGCCTATTGGTAACCTAATGACTATGAATTGTTCTATATGTGTGATAATATTGGTAATTTGCTGTCTTAATCTTGCTACAACGTATGATCTTACAGATTGTATATCAAATTGTATAGGTAATACAAATTTATATAAAATATTATGTTAATATTGTTATATTCAATAAAATATGTATTTAATTTTAATTTTAATATAATTAACAAAATAAGAAATTTCAAACATATAAAATTTTAATTATTAAAATCTAATGTAATAAAACATTATTATAGATAAACTATTTCACAATATATTTTTATATTAATTGTAATTTCAAAAAATTAATAATAATCCATAAATATTTGCGTACGTACAATACGATAAATTTAGGTCATATTCCAAGAAAATACATATGGTGCAAAATTAAATGTTACAAAGACTTTAGTTTCGGTAAGTACTTTCTTCTCGTATTTTTTCTAAATATAAATAATATTTAAACTTTAATAGTTATATTTGCGATGGGTCATATATTTAATTTATTTTACAATTTCAAGGCGGATACATGTTGAAAACTAAGGACGAGTGTTATGCCACTTGCGATAGTAAGTTACATATTTATCACTTGTTTTTCCACTTCCAAGTACCTATAATCACTTTCTACTAAAATTTATATCAATAGTATTTAAAACAATAATAATTTCAGTATATATTCGGTATAATCCAACGATTATTTATTAATATAAATAGCTAACAATTAGTGAACCTTGATTTCCCTAACCTTCATGAAATTCAATTTTTTTTTCTAATTTTCATTATAATACCTATTATAGTTTATAATCTATCGGTAATGCCAGTATCTATTGTTTTTTAAATACGTGCAAATTTTTTCACATATTTAAATTAATTTATAATAAAAAACATAAAACAAAAAACATCGCGTTAGAACGAATAATTAAATTTTAGTGAAAATATTTCAATTTCCTTATGTAATAATTCATTAATAAATTGATGTACATAAATTTATAATAGTTAATGCCTCATTGTCTAAATAATATATTTTTAGTTAAATTGTTATACACACACAGATTTAAATATTGAAAACACAAAAATTTGTCCATTATATAGCACTAAATATATAATTTATTGATTACATCTATATTCTATTTTTTTTTTTTTTTTTATTTTTGTATGTAAAGAACTACGAATTAATAAAAGTAATATATTAAATTTTAAAATTTTATAACGATTGAATGATAAAAAAAAATCGATAATACATTAATTAAAACAATCATTAATTTATTTATAGCATTACCAACGGTCAATAGAGTGGACTGTAAAATGGCTTGTGACTTCTTATTTAAGGATTCAGTAGAGAAATCGTAAGTTGTAACTCATATTTTCAAAAATGAATATTAATATAACAATATAACTAATAATTTGTTATTTTTAGTTTGAAAGACGGTGAAAGTGCCAGTGACCCTATAAATATTGATTGAAATCTAATATTTATAAAATATTATAATTTCATGTGATCAGGCTATTATGAGTACTTAATGGATGGTCGAGTCATACTCTTGTACACAAAATAATTTATTATTAATTCCATCTACATTAACATTTTCCTTAATACTTAGTGAAAAGGCTCTATTCAATAAATATGTAAATTATAAATAAATATATAACTAACTGCTTATGTGGAATTTAGTTATTTATTATTCCGAAAGTATTATCTTAATTTTATTAGAATATAACATAAATCGTTAAAAATAATAATAAATTATAATAGAATTGAAAATGTAATCGCATTTTAACGATTTCTTACTTATACAAATAATGAGCTATTAATTATGATCGATAAAGAAGATCGCAAACTATTATAAAAGATAATTTGTAGTTTTAAAGAAGTATAAAGTAATTCAATATGTAATTGGACAGAAGTTTTAAATAAATCAGCAAATAGTTTTAAGAAAAGATAAAAAAAAAACCGATTGTCATGAATAATAAAATCTTTAATTTCATACTAATTACATATAAAATATTATACTATATTACAAATATATCAAGAAATATTATATTATTATATTCATATTATTATGACGGGATATCTGAAAATAATTATTAGAAATAATAATAAAATACAAATTAACCGGTTTATGAAATTCAAAATATTTAAAAAAAAAAAAATTTCAAATTTATTCAATTGGTACAAAACTAATACATTTTCATAAACAGCAATTGACATAAATAAGATGATATCCATATCTTTTATTTATTTCCTTTTATCATAGAGCAGAATTACTTTTATAAAAAAAAGAAGACTAATTAATGAATTGTACTCGAAAAATATAGTTTACGTAAATTAAATAAAATTAAACTCAAGAAAATATATAATCATTGTAATTGACAAAATTATAAATCTTATTTAAATGTTTCTAATAAAAATTTAGAAATATAAATTTAATATCAATTATTTTTTGTATAATTGAATGAGTTATTTATACGATGTATAAAATTATATATATATATATATATATATATGTGTGTGTGTGTGTCCACTTTTTCATTGTTATCACAATATAATTCAATAAACTGAATAAATATATTTCAAGTAGCCCTCATATTGGAAATCATTATTTTTAAAATTCAATTATTCTTTTAATTATTTATTACATAAGTATTAATACGCATTAAAGAAAAGCATAAGATGTAGTAAAATTATGAGAAATAAAATATTTATCAAATCAAAGTATAAAAATAATAATTGAAGTTTATTATAAAAAAACTTTTATAAAATTAATTTTTCTTTTAAAGTCTTTATTTTCAATTATTTTAATGTATGCGCAATAAAAGCTATTTAATTAAAAAACGTTTAATAATTCTATTAATATTATAATAAAGTGTTTGCCTTTAGAATAAAATATACTTAAAATGTAAAATATAATTATGTATTAAATTTAAAATATTCACAAATAGTTTTATTGGTTCAAACATTTCCTAGAATTATTTAATTATATAAGTATTTTGCAATTACTATTCCGATAGCATATCAAAATTAAATACAGACTAATTTAAAATCAATAGAATAAATTTACATAAGAATAATGTTATACAACCTCGTGTAAAAGCCACGATATATTTTAATTGTTTTCTAACAATCTTTTGTGACTTAAGTTGCATAAATTTGTATTATTTACACAGACACTCACAAAAAAAAAGCGAATAAAATATGAGAATACAAAAAAAAAATATTTTTCAGATTTTTGTAGATATTATATTAACCAACGTAATGTTTGCATTTGTATACATTTCTTTGAAAAGTAATATCGGAATTTTAAAGATTAAGTGTCATTCTTAGTTATAAATCATATTTTGTAATTATGAATTAATCATTTACACTATTTTTATAATTTTATTAATAAGATAAGAATTATTATCCATGTTATTTTACAATTTTATAGGATAGAGGTTAAGAATTATTATCATTGTTATTTTTAAATTTTTCTTATAAATTAATATTTTTTTTTTATAAACTCTTATACATAAATAATAAGTAGCTATTTATGTATTCTTAAGTATAACAAAGTTGATATACATATTTTTGTTTAGTATGTAATAGTAATCTATTTTAATTAAAAATAAATCATTTACATATAGTTGCTTAACAAATAATACGCTTGTTATACGGTTTTATTAAAAATTATTATTATTTATTTGAATGATTAAATTATTCAGGCATAACAAAAATTTCAACCACAAATGTAAATTAAATTATTTAAAATAAGAAGATCGAAGGAATATCTTTACTTATAGAAGACATTTATAATTTAATTGTATTTTTATGTGTCACTAATTTAAAGTCTTTTCTTTTTAAGATTATTCTTTTTATAAAATGAAGTTTCTCATATTCATCTCATTATTTATTGTATATTATACAACATTAATTAAAGCCAATCTAACGGTGTGCATTAATAATTGTAACGGTAAGAAATATATATATATATATATATATATATATATATATATATATAAACATTTATTCTACATCATAGTTTTCTGTATAAAGGATAAAAGAAAAAATCATTTCATGAAAATCGTTAATATTGAAAATTTATAGGTATTTAATAATAATTTAAAACGTACATAATTTCTCATTAGGAGTAAAATATAGTTTTATATTTATTAAATTAGTATTAAATATGAAAGTTTAAATCTTTGTCTACAATAAATAATGTAAATTTATTTCTAATTACAAATATATAAATGCCTAATCTTATAATGGCATTTCACCATTTGAGAAATCAATGTTCTTTTAAAAATTTTTATTTGTGTTCGTATTGCTAATGTTAAATTAAACTCTTTACAATTTGTTATCAAAATGGATTTTATTATCTACGAGATTGAACATATTTAAATATTAGCCCAAAATATACAAAAATATACAAATAAAATTGATATAATAATAAATATTAATTTATATATGAATATTAATTTATTTATAGAATACAAAAAAAAATTTATTAATAAAATTTTCTACATGTAATGTCATTACTAAATTAATTTACTTTTAAAACTCATATTAATATACGGCAATATTTAGACATCTTTAATACTCTTTATTAATCTATATTTTATTATGTCGATATAGAGCTTCCAAATCTTAAACAAATGTGGTGTAAAATCGATTGTTATAAAGAAGCTACTTTTGGTAAGTAGGAATTTATTTTTCCATATTATTAATTAATTTTATTATTTTTTTTTTAATATAATCCATAAAAATATTATTATGCAGGAGGACATACACGCGTATCGAAGAAAGATTGTTACGCTGTTTGCGATAGTAAGAAATATTTTATTTATTAACTGTCTAACAATGTTTTAAACATATCTTGCATTAGTATATTAGAGTTTTATCAATTTTCATTGATATTCTCTTAGTTTATTGATTATTAAAGTAAAAGGTATTAAGAGTATTATTATTATCTGAGAGTAAGCTTCGGCTACTTAAACTTCTGCTTATGGAAACAACTTATTTAATCCATTAATATATACAAAAATTTTTTTATAATGTCTTTTACTTACTAGGATGTAGTTAAAATAGTTTGTTTAAGGTATATTTTAGTTGAAACTCATAGTAATTGTTCTTGCGCTATTCTAAAGAAAAAAATCCTGATTCATAATACAATATAGTGAACGATTTCGAGATATAATTTTCGAATAATATATATTCTACTATTAATTATGCTATTAATTATAAAACAATATTAAATTTTCCTGGATAATTAATATTAACTTTCCTTATCTTTTAATTATTAATATCGAGTATAATATCGACTTACGGAATAATAACTTGACTAAAAATTTTTTATATAAATCAATAATTTTAAATATATTTTTTATTCGAAATATTTAGAAAAAATATTTCTAAAGGAGATAATTGAACGATTGCTAATTTTTTTTCGCTACTCGACATACTAACAGCATAAAAACAAATCAATAAATTTGTATTAAAAAATTGACTTATATTTTTGTCGTGAATCTATTCTATCATAATTACTTTTGTAATTCTTTATAGTAATATATATATATATATATATATATATATATATATATAGAAAGGTAAAAAAAAAAAGATGAAATTTTGAAATTAAAAATTTATTAATTTACACTAATTATTTATATACAGCCATACCAACGTCCTACAGAGATGATTGCAAATATTCATGCGAGCGCATATTTTCCTATTAACTTGGTAAGTTTGGATTTCGATGTGAAATATGAATTGTTAATTTTTTTCATTATAAAATCATGATAATTAAAATTAAATATGTTTTCATTATTTTTAGTAATATTAGTAAAATTTCAATTAAATTTCTTGTATTTACTTTATTATAAATATTAATCGTTATACTTTTTTGGGCAATTCGACTTATAAAAGTAGAGTAAGACAAAGATAGTATATTAAGTAATAACTAACGAAGAGAAGATATTATTTATTACAGCTCTAATTACAATTAAAGTTATTCTAATCGCTATTTTAATAAAAATTATTTTTCTTATTTAATCTAAATACTTGCAAATCTGCGAAAAATCAAATATTAGCATTGTATATGTTACTAACAGCTTTCAATTATATATACTTTTAATAATCGAATTTCTTAATAATGTATGTTCAAAAAGTCTCATATGTCCATGTAAAACCATTCCACATAGAATAAATATACGAATCTCTATCCCTACCCCCCCCCCCCATGCTCTCTCTCTCTATCTATCTCCCTCTCTCTCCCACACACACACACGCGCGCGCCCTCCGATGCTAATTCTCAATATGATTGACCATTAAATTTCTTAAAAGCCGATGGGCACACTGGAACGCTGCTATTGGCATCAACAACAAGACATCCCGAGTTATACAAGACACCCCTCAAGTCCGCCATTATCCGTGTCCAATTCGGTCGGACCCAAGCATTCTCTTCGCATTTGATATTCATTTCCATTCGACACAGCCAATCCTGCCAGGTTCTAACAGAATAAGCATTTTATTCCAGCTGTAATGTGAGATAAGCTGACGACATATCGCCTGATATTTGCGCTTCTTAATATTCCATCCGGTATAATGAAATCTGAAAGCTCCGACTCTATCTGTCCATGTGTAATAGAACTCTTGTGATGTTTTATTTATGAGCAGAATATTATTGTTATTACATTCACGTATGAAAATTATCGTGCTTGGAGTCTTATTAGAATAATCCTTCGCTATTGATGTCAAATTAGAGTATAAAATGTTTATAAGCATTTTATTCGGATTTTCGGTTCATATAGATTTATTTTCATTTTTAATGCTGAAATATCTCATGTTGTAAGAATATGGTACGATGATATCGCATATCTTCATATTTTAATAAATAAAGATAATTATTATGAAAAATAATTTATATTATATATGTTTAAACGCTCATTTCTATCCTCACAAATGACTCCTCGCAATTAACGAAATGGTTTATTAACATTATTAAAGAGCACAAAACTTGGCTATTATTGTTTTATAATAATCAAAATATATTAGATTATACGTTTAAAAATAATAAAACCATATGAAATTAATTACAGTCTAAAAATGTCTAAATATTATTGTCGCGAACATTTTATTTACTACCAACATTTTATTAAATAAACAGACTTGATGAAATAAAAAGTTCTTAATCAAATTAATATTTTTACTACAATGTTATCACATTAAATATTTATACGTTGGATTGAATGTATAAAGAAAATTAAAAAATAAATATAAACTTTTATAATAAAGTTTTCACATAAAGTTTTGAATAATTTTTTAATATTGATAAATCAAAATTTCATATTTTTCTTTCTTTTCAAATGCCAATAGCAGAAAATCTTTATTTAAGTGCAATGTCAGACTTGTTAGTTCACATAAAAATTGTTTAACCTGCTTCGACTACTTCGATAATTATCATTATCATATTAATTTTCAACTGTACAAATTAAATATTTAAACTACCAATGGAATTTATATAATATGTGAGTTTATAAATATTTATATATATATATATATAATAAAAATATTATCTTATGTTAAAATCGAATTAACTAGTGATTATTAAAAAAACGTGAATTCATATCTTTTTTTTTTTTAAGATGTAACTTATTGTTCTCAAAACTTCTATTTTTCTTAGTCAAATAACGTGTTAATGAAATATACAAGTAGCATACAGTAAATTAGACAGTCTATTGCTATCTATTTTCAACATGAATGATGATACATATTTTCACGATAATATTAATGTATTTTTCTATATAACTAACAAAATCTATTTTTAGTTTTATTCCTCTTGTATAACAGTTAATTCTCTTGTGGTACTTGATACAGCAAATATAGATAAATTAAAATTTTTAACAAATCCTATTATAATTATTATATTTAATATATTTTAATATATTATTCATTTTCTTATACATTTTGATTGTATGAAAATTAATATTTTTTTCCCCGTATTTTTTATGAACTTGGAAAAATAAATAATAATTTGACGATTCAACTTCTCTCCTAGATATGGCATTAAATTTCGATTTTTTTAAATTTATTCAACATCAATAACTTACAAAATGCTAATTATAATGATTCTTTAACTAGACGTATGTTATATAGTAACACTGTATGTAAATATTTAAAAATATATAAAAAATAACAGGAATTTGTTATTTAAAGAAATATGTGTGTGTGTGTGTGTGTGTGTGCGTGCGTGCGTGCGTGCGTGCGTGCGTGCGTGCGTGCGTGCGTGCGTGCGTGCGTGCGTGCGTGTGCGCGTGTGTGTGTGATTTGGTGTAAAATTATAAAATTATTAAGTATATTTAATGTATGTAATGAAATTTATTATTTATTTTTTAATTTTTACTTTTCTGAGAAATTCAATATAGTTTATTCAATTAATATTATTATTATTTGATAATAAATAAATCATTAATAAAAAAAAATTTTTTTAAATTCTAAAAATATTGTTGAATTATTATAACTGCCGTTGGATTTTTCATGTATTTTTCAACATTATTATACCAATGTATAATGTATTAATATCTAACATGTGACTCAAAATTATCATTTATTTTCGACGAATAAATATCAAATGCAACAATATATCATTTTATTAATTCATATTATATTTATACATATACCAGAAATAATTGTATAAGATAATTATTTCTGGTATTTTTAATATCCAAGTATCTTCGATTGTATAATGAAAATTTTAATGTTACAAAATCTAGTTTATAAGATCCAAATTTATAAGTAAAAGATATATAATTTTATTGCTTGTACCATTCTTTTTTGTATAATTCCCAAATAACATAGATAAAATTATATTGTATGTATATATGTATATATATATATAGAACAATATGTCATGTCGATATACATAAGCGAGGGCACTGGCCCATTAGCGATACAATTTCGCATTGAAAAGATTAATTTACTTTGCTTTGGTCAAAATATCGGAAGTATCTAAAACCGTGCTGACATCTATAATGAAACCATAAAAGTTACGGCAAAGCTCAGTCGGATAACTCGATGGTTTAGTTGGTATTGCAGAAAAAACTATACAATTAGAAAAAACTATAACATTAAATGGAATAATCTTCTGCGTTTGATAATTGACTAAAAGTGAATAGATAAAGATAGAATTATGTTAAAAACAGAGAGAGAGAGAGAGAGAGAGAGAGAGAGAGAGAGAGAATAAATAAAGCAAAAAAGTACTTAAAGAGGAAAAAGAAACTTTAAGTATTAAATATGTGTAAATATAAAATTTTGCAGTAAATTAAAACAACAATTGGTAAGGTTATATACTCTTTCTTTATAAATTAGAAATTACTTTGGAAATTATTAATTTCATTTTTAGATGTTATTCGTTAAAAGAAAGAAGCTACGAATGCTTGGATCAACTAAATATTTGTTAAGAAAGAAATCAAGAACATATTCAATGAATACTCGATCTGATATAGTCGTTATACTTATTTACTATAAATGCAGTAGGACGGTTGAAGGATCGAAAACTATACTATAATTCAATAAATGTAGTATATCAATTTAGCGTTTAAATTTATTTGTATTAAATTGACAAGTTCGCCATTTGTATAGAAATAAAATTGTTTATTCAAATTTATTTAATACATGACGGAAAGAAGATATATAAATATATATATCAGAATTGACAACAAAATCTAAAATACTGCTAGATAGAAAATTATGGCTGATTCAAAACAGCATGTTTCGATTGGTTTCCCTAAACCGTTAATTAAAACTATGCAAAACGATATAGAGGCAGCAAATGATGTAAGCTTGTTAAAAGACAAGCAACATTCATTAACTAATTCAGATGATAGTAGTGTCGTAAGTCTCGTAGACAGTGCAATGCTAATAAGCATCAAAGAAGATACAGAGAGTTCGGAGCATCAAACAATTGGTATACATCCTGACAGTATTCTCTGTAAGGAGCTGGGGTTTATTCTTCCTTTAAGGCACATGAATTAACAATAATTTTGGCCACTTAATATCATGTGCATTTGAAATTGGCGCATTAATCCAAATGTAATCCAACAGTTGTATCGCACATACGACATAACGACATACCCATCGAAACTTGCACGCACAACGATCAAGCTCTGTCGATGAAGCTAACCTTCCATAAAGAAGAAATAACAAGAGGAACGAGCATAACTAACCAATCATATAACCAAGATCGATATCCAAGGTAAATTAAAGAGCCGCGACAATATTTCACATCCGTACCCCATTCATCAGTGATAAATCTCGATATTGGCAGGATAAACCTAAGGATAAGGCCGGTATGCGCGATACGTCAAGGGTACATAAATCCAAACAGCAGCCGAATTAATAATTTGGCATTTCAAACAAAGGAGACGACAATAAATAAGTCCATTGTAAAATAGTGGCCTATCGCCATCTGCGGGCAGTCCTTAGAAGTTCGTCTCCCGATCGCCATGACACAGTGAGTGGTAGAAGACTCGATAATGCTCGGGGAGACGTAGGGAGCGAGAGGAGGTCGGCGTTAAAGCAGCCTGTCGCCCAGATGATCCGTCGTACCTAGTGTCGTCGTCGCTCCTGGTTGGCGAATATCAGCGCCAAGGGGCCAACGGGACGGGGATCGGGGATCGCGAGCGGTAAGGATAAAGGCGCCGAGCGGATCCCTGGACCAGGGACAGTCTCAACGGAAGAATGGCTGACCAGGAACATGAGCAGCAGCAGCAGCAGCAACAACAACAACAACAACAGCAGCAACCGCAGTCGTGGAGGGATAATAACACGGAGGAAAAGACGTTGCCGAGCAAGCACTGGACGCCCTCGGAGATTAAGAAACGCAGGTTCCTCAACAGTGTGCGTACCAAGTACCCCAAGAAATGCGTGACGATGAAAGCCGCAGTGCTGGACGATCTGCTCAGCCAGTTTGTCGCGCGAAAGAATAAACGCCCGCTCGACGACTCCTGCAAGGTTCGCTCCCTCTGCCTCTTGTCTTTTTTACTTTTACTGATTGATTCTTTTCCCCGTCGCCCCCCCCCCATCCGCCACCATAACCCACCACGACATCCCACAAATTCCCGACCCCCTTGGGCACTCATTCTGTCGCTCTCTCTCTCTCTCTCTCTCTCTCTGTTCATTGTTCATCTGTCTGTCTGTCCGTCTGTCCGTCTGTTCGTCTGTCCGTCTGTCTGTTCGTCTGTCCGTCTGTCTCCGTCTGTCTCACTAACACACACACTGTCTCATGCGACAGAGACGTTTGCGCGACTGGACCTGAGCTTATTTTTCTCCGCGTCTTATTTTACGCAGCCATTTAAATCGACAGCCTTCGTCCAAGAGGGATTCCGGCTGCGTGTACACGCGCGTGTGTACGTGCGCGAGTCGTGACGGTATCACTGGGAGGGCAGGGAGATCAGCTTGGGCATTACATTTTGTGAAAGTAGTCGGGTACTCCTCGGAGTGACTGATTGGCACTCGTGTGCGAGCTTTTTATTATGGACAAGTCAATATCGATAAACTGGGAGTTAATGCGCAGGCACTCGACTTTTCTTGATTCTCGAGAACTCGGACTTCGATTGCTACTTTCGGTCGTTAAAATTCATTTCAATTGAATGTGTTAAATCATTTTTTTCTTCCTTATATTAAGATGTTGTTGTCTTCAAGTTCATATACATACGCACTGCACACATGTGCGTATTTACGTTGCGCGCTCGCATGTATGTTGATGGATGCATGCGTAACATAAAAGCAGATTGAAAAATAGAAGACAAAATAGAAATGTAAAAAAAAAATTTTTCATTATTTTACAATTGAAATTGATATTATAATTAGAAGCTATGCAGAAGCCAGTTATGACACATTATGATCCAACTCTGTCGGTTGACAAAAATAAGGAAATAAAAAGAAGCTAATAAAGTTTTATGCTCATTAATTTTTTTACCTTGATATTAATAAAGTAATTTTGGAATTTAATAAAATTATCGCAATGCCCAGCTAAATATTTTAATTTTTATATGTTACAATTTTATATTCCTAGCAAGTTTGTTAAATTTACTGTTAAATATATTAATTGACTGTACATATTACTATTGAACAAAAAAATAATAAAATACTTATCGGCAGTCTAATTGATTTATAATTAATTTATTAACTCCGTGAAGTTTAAAGAGAATATATATTTGGTTGAAAATTACGAGTATAACGGTCTGTTCCATGATTGCTTCGATAATGGAATACTTGCCTGGCTACAACAATATTATATTGTCCGGAGAACCTAAGTGTATTATTTATTGCGACTAATCATTAATATTCAAATATTTATCAAGCGTTTATTATTATTAATAAGCAAATACTGAAAAAATATAAGAAATTTCACTTGGAATTCATACATTGGTATACAATTGATACATTGGTAATTTAATTTCTTTTCTCTTCAGGAGCGTGCGAAGGATAGACTCAATTGTGTACAAAAGTCGGACACAAAGCCACATTATTATAAGAAGCTACAAAATGCAGCGTTACTATTAAAGGAAGATGATAACAATATTTCAGAATTAGTAACTCAAATAAAATCTTCGAACTTCAAGATCACAGCAGATAACATTAATCGTACTGTATCAACAATGAGTTGTTTTGATAAAACATCACAGGAACCCTCATTGGATATACATGGTGGAAGTTCATTGGATATCAGATCTGCTATGCCAGGAACATTGGAAAATGTCAGTATTTATTGTGATTCGTACCATATAAATGACAGTACAAACAATAAGGCTCCATGTATGGATTTTGTTGGTTAGTCGGTATCATTGGATATTGGTGCTAACGTACCTGCAGGTTCACAGTTATCGGTTATCGAACCTCAGAGTTTAATTAATTTCTCTCGCAGATTTAGAGAATAAGCTTAATTTTATATAATAATTGGACAATTAAGAATGGAAATTTTTATTGAAATGTTGTGAAATCATAATAAAATCATGTTTATGTAAACTGTACATTCTTTATTTTGTTTTTCGTAAATTACATCTATGAATTATTGTAATTTACAGTATTTTATATTTACCGCATTTTGTAAGAATGTTTTACAACAATAAATAAAATTATTAATTGATTAGTAAATAATCCACAATATTTACCTCACTAAATTAATCAACTAATGTAACTGACTGTGACATATTTTTGTATAAATAGTTCTTAAATATGTTTATAAATTTATAAGTAAATATTGTAAGTAAATTATGACATAAGTACTTAATATTAATTAATCATTATTAAATTAACTGACGTTATGTAAAAATAAGTATTCAAATAAATTTTATAAATTTATAATAGAATATTTTATGTCGAAAAGAACATTAAAGATTTTATTAAACTGGATTATAAATTGTATTGCGCATGTAAAAATATAAGAAATTCAAGCAAAATATATTATACCGTAGACTGTATTTTAAAAATGAAATACATATCACTCTATCTAATTTTAAAAAAATATATAAAAAATGAAATCTTAATTATAGGAATTAAATGCAAAGCAGAATATCGACAAATATTACAGATTGAAACTTTAAGAACTACATTATATTAACATAATATCTGCAAAGGCAAAAATTCTATTTTAATGAATTAATTTACCAAAAAAAGAAAAGAAAAAAAAAGAAAAAAATGTTGTATTACAATTAAAGATGATTTGTTTGGAAAAATTTTGAAAAATTTATAAATTTTTAATGAGTTTCAATGTTCAACGTATTCACAATTTATTAAGTCCGATAAATCGATACAGTCATTGTGTTTGGTTAATTTTTATATGTAAATTTGAAATTGCTTTAGCGCTTAATGAAATTTAAGATTTGAAAAACTTAAATGTTTTCTCACTACTAAACTACTGTACAAAAGCTACCGATTAAAATGTATTTTATGCATTCGCTAATGAGGTAGTTGTATTTTATTTATTTTTTTTTTTTTTTTTTCTTTTTTACTATACTTCTACATGTTATATATATATATATATATAGAAAAATTTGATATAATTATATTTACATGTATTATTTTATTCTGGAATTAGTACTAAATTTGTCTTAATTACAAGTTATTAGATGTAAATGATGCAAAACAAAATGTGAATGATCCTATTTTAATTTCTTATTTTCCTACCTATATTTCTTTTATAAATAAATTATCAACGACAAAATAATTCATCACTCGCATTAATATTAATGTTTAAAAAATTACTAACCCTTTGTATGTATATAAATACTAATTATCGACTATTTTCTTTGAAAGGTCATTTAAAATGCCTCATAATATACATTTCAAATCAGCTATCCGTTCTCAGATTATTTAGTAAATAATATAATAAAATATAATTTACACGTAAAAGCTTAGTCGAAAATCATATATATTAATAAAATATAATTAAAGGATAATTATTTAAATGATTCATATTACTAGTATCATTATAAAAATATCTTGCGATGCATAATGAAATTTGAAAAAAAAATGCATTCTTTAAATTCTTTAAATTAAAAGAAATTACTAAATAGATATTTCATTGATACATAATTTTAGAAGAGATTGGATTTAAGAAATAAATTTCAAACGATGTTGCCAAATTTTAAAAAATATTATTTATAACGCGTTATAGTTAAGAAACAATAATATTCGAAGGGAGAAATTATTTAATAAATAAATTGTGTTAATTTATCAGGTGGACGGAAGTGAAATTAGTAGATTAATGGAATAATCAAATGCAAATGCCTAAAAAAAAATATATATATATATATATATATATATATATATATATAAATATATATATATATCAAGGGAAATACATTGAAAACCTATATATATATATATATATATTTTTTTTCTTTATTTAGTTTTGCTAATTTTCCAAATTATATGACAGATATATGTCTAGAGCATGTGCATAGAAGACCTTTATGTGCATTTTGAATTATACTTGTTAAAAGTCTCCTAAATATATAAATTAAAAGAGGGGATGGTATAAATATTCATTTAAACATAAATAAATGTTGGTTTGTTGTAAAATCTATGCTTAGGTAAATTGTAATTCATTGTAATTTGTTTATTAAACAAAGTCGATTATAAATTTATTTACAGATAATTATCTTGCATATATACAGATATACGCACATTTATAATAAAAATCTTAAATTTGTATTTATGAATCGCACGCGCCTTAATACTAAATTATTTTATAATAAAAAATTGTAAAATAACAAAGTAAGCTGATAAGAAAAATTATTTACACAGAATACTAAACAACAAACCACACCGACAGCAGTTTATTTATACCAGATGTTTAGATGGAATGCTAACATTATTATAATTTTCTATTGTTACGATTCTCGCCTCATACATAATGAGTTGATATTCAATGCGTTTGTAATAATTATTTTATTCATTACACAAATACGGTATGATAATTATATAACGTATGTGTATTGTTACATCAAAATCACATGAATCGAAGTGATTTGGATAATTGTGTTAAGATTTGACCTAAAACATATAATTGTGGAAATATTAATCGAAGCACTTGTTACGACCGGATTACGCTCATTTAATTGTAATTCCTAAACATGTTGGTCGTTAGCTGTCAGAGACACTCTCGTTCGACTTAGGATAATGAAACGACGCTTTATAGTCCAGCCTCGTCGACTATTATAGAATTTTGAAGAAAAAAAAAAATAAGAAGAAGAAGATGATGATGAAGAAGAGAATGAGAAAAATAACGAAGCCAATGGCGCATATGTCGCGACGTCAGTCATCGTACTCGAATTTCCGCGCCGACTGTACGCGAAGGCCCGCCCGACTTCTCTTCGCGACGTCCAACAACAAGAGTCCGATAGAAAGAGAAAGATGAAGAAAAAAAAAAAAGTATCGAGCGGGGAGAAAAAATTTGTACTGAATTCTCGTCGACCTTGATTTGAGAAAGCAGCGAGACGATCAGTTAATGCACCGCCGCCACTTCCTTGAGGCGCACGTGCGGCCACATTTTTTATTTATTAATTACCGAGAATGGCGATGATCTTGGAAGGTGGTGCGCATGTACGAGAGAGGAGATAAGAATGTTGGTGACTGCTTTATTTTTGTACTTTTGCCTTTTGATTCTCAGAAGTGTGCATAGGCTGTCGTGCGTATTTACCCATCGACGGGAGACGAAGAAAAAATACGAAATTTACAAAAGGTTTGAGATTTCCGGTTAATGTCTTTAGACGTTCATTTTGGAAAACTAATACGATTATCCATTAGAGTGGCGGTAAACTCTTAGACTCTCCGACAGTCCACCTTTTACATTTTACCTATGTTTTTTATTCACGCGTTTACATGTGTCGAATCGTGTATTTGATCGCGTGTTTTGTGTGCGTATGTGCGCGCGTGACTGTGCGCGCTTCAAATTATTACCGTACTTTCAATGGTTTTAATGAGAAAACAATTTGCATTAAAAGATACGCTTTTACAAAACAAAAGAACATCTTCGGTGTTTCTTTTTTATTTTATTGCTTAGTTTAAGGTAAAACAAAAATCATTTGCAATGTTCATTTGTCTAGCAAAAAAAAAAAACAAACAAAAAAAAAACAAACAAACAAACAAACAAACAAACAAACAAACAAGAAACGCAAAACAAAAGTAATTGCAACAATTTTAAAATTGCTTCTACCCCTTTTTGTATTATCTTCTCTATTAAAAATTATCACTTTTTTTTTCCGTCAATTTCATAATTATTTATGCAAAGGAAATACCACGCGTAACCAAACGCTAAACAAACAATTATCTTTATCTTCATATTCATATTCTTCAATTTATATAATGAGAAAGCCAATATTTATAATCGAAGATGTTACGATATAGATAGGAATGTATAATATGATATATATAAGTGATATATACAGCCTTCTTAATAGTATGTAAAATAAAATAAACTATAATTTTACTTATTGTATATTTTATTTACATGTGAAAGTATTCGCTTAAAAGAAAAGAAAGAAGAAATAATAACTATGTCAAAAAGACCGATAATCGATTTCTACCTTGTCATTATTTCATTAAGTTTTATCATTATTTAAAGCATCCTATCTTACATCTACATTTCAGCTATTAACCTCATCAGAATTTAGCAGTAACGAAACTGAAAATAACATATACAACAATTTATTATGCACGCAATAAAGGTCTACTTATCAATATGAAACAATATAATTAGAGTAATGCACGCGCGCGCACACACACACACGCATATTCATCATTACAGGATTGTGCAAATGTTAATTGCCGATCAATAAAATAATATAATATTGTAAATAGTTAGTTCATTTAAAATATGCGCTCTTGAAGATTAACGTTTCAATGCAAAGTTATTTATATACTTATTTTATTTTTAAACTTAGTAAATTTAAATTTTTCTCAATTGTTATTTTTTAACTAATTGCTATTGCATTCAAAATATATTTCTCGTTATGTAATAAAAGTAATAATAGTTAGTGGTGGTAGTAGGTGGTAGTAGTACCAGTAGTTAGTACTAATACTCGCAGTGTAATCCTCTTATCGTATTATTGAAAATATTTTGCAACTAACAGGCCTTTTTCCGTAATGTCTGAAAAATGAGAAAAAACTTGTAATCCACCGAAAAAAGAAATTAATTCCTTTACATCGTCTAACAATTAATGTAGCAATACCGATCGTTCATGCTAATGTACAATATGCAAATAAGTTTGCTACAGTGCACCAAAGATAATATTAATGAACAAACGAAAATGCGAAATATAATGTAATTGCGAATGGAGGGTACGGGTGGGCCGAGGTGGGATACAACATAATACGAGCGATCATCAAGACAGTTGAATTCTCTAAAGAGCCTACGATCGTTGGAGAAAAGAAATAGTCAATAAAGCAATTGTAAGGTGACCG